ATGGTATAGAAATCCTTCTAAGTACAGCATCTGAAACCAGCACAGGCTTTGGCCCTGTGGACTTTCCTGGCCTGACCATAGAGCTATTGCATGGAAACGGTCTGTTCCTACCCAAGAACTCCAGAACTCTCTACCAGACTTTATGATGAAATGTTTGCTGCCATATCCAACCTAGGTGTGATCTGCGGGCTCCTATCCTCCTGAGATCACCACAAAACCAAGAAAACACAGATTCTTATCCATGAAAAGGCTTCAGGAATTATCTAAGTGATTCTCAAACTCTCTTGGTCTTTGATCTCTTTAGACTTTTAAAAACCAATAAACACTCAAAAAGCTTTTGTTTATGTAGCTGGCTTGTATCTTTTGATATGCACTGAATTAGAAATTAAAACCAAGCAAAAAAGTTATTTTTATTCATTTAAAAGTGGTAATAAACTAATTACATGTTAATGCAGATAATATTTTAAATGAAAAATATTTTTTTCCAAAACATTTTAATAAAAAAGTGGCATAGTTTTATATTCTTTGCAAATATCTTTAACATCTGGCTTAGAGAGAGCTGGATTCTTTTTAAAAAATATTTTTTAGTTGTAAATGAACCTTTATTTTATTCATTTATATTCAGTGCTGAGAATTGAACCTGGTGCCTCACACATGCTAGGCAAGCACTCCATCACTGAGCCACAACCTCAGCCCCAAGAGCTGGATTCTTATACATGTTTTCTACTTAATTCCTGATTCGACTGTAATATGTTATTTTTGGTTAAAAATCCAGCCTCACACAGATATGTAGTTCTAAAGGTCAGAAGTATTTTAATGTCCAATTCAGGTTATTGTGAATATTCTTTGATATTATACAAACTTCACAAGTATAGCTTCTTAAAAGTTGGCTGCTACATGAAATCTGAAATCAATGAATGCTTTGTACTTTGTAACACTAAAATCCATCAGTCTATCTTGCACTCTAAAATGAGTTTTAATCTCATGCATAATTTCTGATGTGTATTGGTATGGTCTTTATCTTTATGAGGAAATTAAATGAAAATTTGTCCTTTATGGTAAAAATAAAGATCAATATAGGAAAATTAGATGTGGCATAAAAGAGCCAGGTGATAAAAGTGGGTAAAGGGAATGGCAGGACAAATTTGTAGATGAGAGTCAAGGACACATGAACTATTATATCAAAGAAGAAAAGAAAATCGAGACTTGGGTTTTTAAACGTTAGCTTTGTCTGAGTGCTCAATCATAATAATGTCCTCTCCAGTTAGGAGGCAGGAGGGGTTCTGAGCAGTCAATATATATGAAGATGCAGAGTCAGGAATCATGGGACGAGACTGGAACCAGCTACATCTAGCATGGCAAATTTTCTTAAAAATGGATTTTTAAGAAACCTAGGAGTGGCACATGCCTGTAATTCCAGCGGCTTGGGAGGCTGATGCAGGAAGATGGAGAGTTCAAAGCCAGACTCAGCAATTTAGGGAGGCCCTAAGCAACTCAGTGAGACTCTGTTTCTAAATTTAAAAAAAAAAAATTAAATTAAAAAAACTTTTTAAATAAGCAAACACAAATAAACAGTAAAAGCCCGTTGTTCCTTGTTCCTCTCTTCTCTCACATTCGAGGGTTAACAGTTGTAGTTGATACGAATACCATATTTTTACCAAATGAAAACCCCTATTCTTAATTGCTTCTGGATCCTTCTTATCATGAGCAATGAAGGAACATAAAATTGATCCAGAACCATTTGGTGACAGCAGAACAAACAGGGAGAAGGCTGAGATCCCCTGAGATAATTACTACTTATGTTAACATTATTCCATCTACATGTCTGGCACTAGCTACTTTCTTAGAATCATGATTTCAAAGTATTTCTTTGGGTCAGTTTTTACTGTTGGGGCATAAAGAAGAAAAATAATTCAAAAGCAAACAAAATAAAGAAAGATAAGTGGTAGAAAGATCCAAGCCCCCTGGTGGCCTTCCAGTGGGTGGGGGATGTGCAGAAGTTCCCACCTAAAGGAGGGGCAGCCAGGTGCTTAGTTACAAAGGGAGTCAATCTGGTGACTCCTAGTGATTTTTCCCACTAGTTAGATTCTTGATAGTGAGAAATCAGTTGTGAATTTACCCAATTTTGTCCTTCCAACTGGGACTAAAATGACTTTCTGAGCTATTGTAATTTTTAATGTTTTCCAGAAATATCAAACAAAATTATCTGTCTGTTAAATTAGGAAGCATTCTTTTTTATGGACAGAGAATTTTTTCTTTAAAACTTTTCAGCATTTGTTGGAGGGGGGCAGGCTGCCCATAAAAATCGCTTTGTAAACTGCAAGCCCTATTGTTGCTATCTGTGGAAGGAGCCACCAGACTAAAGTGAAATTGAACTTGAAGCCTAGTGCAGAAGAATACACACAAAATCAATTCAACATCCACAACCAAGAGAAACGCCTAAATGTTTCAAAATTACAGTGCCGAAAGCATTTCTTTTAAAATATTCATCTTAGGAAGAGTCTGTGGAAGGGGATTTTTTGTTCTCTTTGGTTGAGTCAGTATCACTAATAATGATGCTTTGGTCCTTCAAAAAGCCCCCTGCAGAGTATTTTTTTCAATTTACTCATTTTGTTTGTTATTCACTGCTTTTTACATTTAAGGCTTTTTTCCCCATCATCTTTTCTCTTAGGGCAGTATAATTGAATTGATGAAACTTTAAGTCTGTACTTACTTCTCCTTTCTCCCCACCCTACCTCCATCCAGATCCCAGCCTCCACTCTCATTTGTCCAACCTAAATCTCTAATGGAAAAAAAGTGAGGAGGACTCTGGGATGTCTTTCTGCCACTCTGAGCACAATGGTAGATAAAGAAAGGGCTGCTTTAAGATGCCCAAGGCTCTCTTAGTTAGCAACCTTTGCCCAGAAACTTGAATCAATTTACATTCATTGCTTGCAACTTACTAGAAATTGACCTTTTCTTCTTTTATAAAAAATGATCCTCGGCATTAGACTTTTTATAGAAACCATGGGGCAGAAATCTTTGAGAAAATTTTTTTTATTCTCCATAAATTTTAGGATTATAAAGTCATCACAAAAATGAATTTGCTGGCACACTACCAGCCTCTATGAACATGTGAATTGGCAAACTGAACCTCCTAAATGGGAGGGGAGCAGGTGCAGAAATCTGTACATTTGTCCCTGAAGTACGCTGAGAGAATATAATGATAAAAACAAATATTTTAAATATTATTTATTTCCTTATGAAAATTCACAATATTTCCTTTTTTATTTCGATGTCCATTCTTATTTGTATTCATTATAAACATAGGTATTCATTCTGTTTTTTTCCTTGTGCTTTCCTTGGGCATTTCTTTTCTTTTTTTTTTTTTTTTGCAACCTTTGGAAACAGGACCCAGCCCTTTTGTTGGTTTCGTTTTACTTGGTTTTTTGAAATGGGGTCCTGCTCTGTTGCCCAAGCTGACCGCAACCTCATATTCTCCAGCCTGGGCTTCCCATGAAGCTTAGATTATAGGGAGCGGCCCAAAGGAAACCCAAACCCTGTTTTGGACCCAGTCTTTAAGGCTAGTCTGAAATTGCTCCCCTTTACCTGTTTCCCTCTGTTTCCTGTAATAGCCAGTTCACTGCCTATTAGAAGGTTTGCTTTTTAAATACAGGATGGTTTGTATGCCCCAGGCAATCCTCCTAGGTAGTGTTATCACTGTAGATGAGGAAACAGGCTGGAAAGGGTTATCTAATTTGCACTTGGTCACTAACCCAGTGAGGTGGCAGAGATGGGTTTTCAAGCTAAGTTCTCCTTATCCAACACACTGAACTCCTCCACCCCCATAACTTGCTTAAGAAATGACCTTGATTAAGATTTGGCTTCTAGCAGACATTCCAAGCTCAAGAAGCCTGCTTCCCAGAACTCATGGAAATGTTTTTGACCATGCTGGGATCTCCTGCCACTAGTTACTTCACATTCCCTTTTGCCAGAAAGACCCTGATACCACAGAGAGTTCAAGGTGACCCCCATCCCCCAACCAGGTATCTGGCAGCTGAGGACTGAATCCCAAAGCCTGGATCCCTGAGCCCCTGAGGGATAGGGGTATGAACAAAAGCTCAAGAAAAAAATGGTGTCATAAGGCAGCTCTCCAGAGTTTGAGTTTGGTTTAGTTCAAAACAGGAAGTCATGCTCCCCACCTCTCTCTCACCTCCTAACTAAAGTCCAGCTGTGTTTTCTCTCTGTTCAAGAAAACTGCCTTTTATTTTATTAAAAAAAAAAAAAAAAAAAAAAAAAAAAAAAAAAAAAAGGCAAAACCCCAAATTGGATGGTTAAGTAGTTTTATCCTTCACACTTTAAAAAAATCTTCTACAAAAGAAATGTTGCTTTTGAAAATATCACCATTTTTTAAATTGCTATTATGAATTTTCCAAGTTATTGCAGTAAAAATGGAAGAAAATAACATGGAGAATGAGGTGGTGTGAGACCAACATTTGAAAAAAAAAAAAAGGAGTTTTGCTGAAATACAAATTGGCTTCTTAGATTGTATTCTTATTCTAATTCCCAATTAGACTTGAGACCTGGGCGACTCAGGTAGATGGGCATTTAGGGCATTCTTAAACTACTTGCAGTTGTATATGCTGGAGTGTGATTTAGGTTATTAAAGGCATTTGGTGTGTGTGTGTGTGAGAGAGTGTGTGTAAGAGAGAAGTGCACCTATATTAGCTTCCTGATTGCATGCCTCTCAAGATAGCTCTGGCCTCAAAAGACTCTCAGGGGCTTTTTTAAAGTCTCCATTTCTTTCCTTCCAGGAATCATTACTTGAAAGAAAAATCAGAAATATACAGATTAATAATACTAAAACAGACATTTTAGAAATGTGACCAAAACTTGATTACCATCAACCATGGTGACAGTGACCCAGCACCCTGTCCAGAGCTGAGACCAGCTCCTTTAAAGTTAACTTCCAGACCAAACCCTCTCAGGTAATGTGCAACAAAGACCACATTCTGACGCGCTTAGGGACACACAATTTTCACAATGTTTTTATTATTCATAAAAAAATAAATTTATTTACATCTGTTATTTATTGTGGTAGTGCAGCCTTATGGCAGCGGTGCAGTACCGCTATGGTAACCATTGTCAATGGGTCCCAAACAGGTCCAGAAGCCCTCCTATGTTCAAGGAAGAACTTGGGCTGCAGGAAGAACTTGGGTACCAGAAGTGGTGATGGGGGAAGGGCGGCCAGAGGTTGGGGGTGGGGGTGAAGCCTGTCGGGGAAAGTCCAGCATAGTGAATGAGGCAACTTCAAGGAGCAGGGAGAAGGGAGCGGCCCAAAGGAAACCCAAACCAGGTTGGTACCACCAGGCTCCAATGGTACCATTAGACTGGGAGCCTGTGAGTAGACCATTAATTATAAAGAGGAAGGGGCTTGGAAAAAAGACCCCAGTCTGTGGGGAGTAAGAAGTCAGACCTCAGCAAGGAAGTTGAACAGCCCAGAACGTGCCTGGCAAAATCTGCCTGAGCTGGTCTCCGAAATGTGTCTCCATCTCGCCCTATGCGAAGTGGCAAGTCCCACCTGTTCCGAGGGCGCTGCCTGGTGGGTTACAAAACTGGTCCAGCTATGCCACTCTCTTTTCTTTGCAATTTAAAAACATGCCTTGACGTGGATCCCACGCCTGGACTTTTAGGCGGATCAAGATATCTCTCTAACCGTGAAAGGCCCAGATTGTGCAGAATTCTGCCATCACATATATGACAAATCCGGCTCAGCTCAGAAACTAGCGCCTAAGCGATTTGATGCTGGGCTCAGCGGTGGATGAGTCTTGAGAGCTAAGGGCCCAGACTGGATCTAGGTCCGTGCTCGCCACAAGAAGGGAGGGTCTTTCTGATTACAAAACGTGGTCGCAGGACACCTGTCCTGTTCACAGTTCCAGGCAAGGGGAAAGGTCCAGGAGAATCCTATGGGACCTTGTACCCATTCGCTAGTGTCCTCTTGCTCTCTCCCTTCTTTCCGCGGCTCCCAAACACACGCGCTTAAGAAATAATCCCATTAAGTGAATTCCAGTCCTCTCTAAGCAGTGGTTCCACATAATCTGCTGGCTGCGGAAACTTCTTTCGTGTCAGAGTCAGGTCGTCCGGAGACCACGAATGGCCACGTCTGGAAAATTAAAAAAAAAAAAAATTAAAATTAGAAAAAGGCATCCGATATTGAGGACTAGCGGCAGTCTTAAACCGAAACTACTCTCCTAGGAGAACTACAGTTACCCCTGGCTTTCAGTAGTTCAATTTTTATCAGTGTTCTGAAAATTTGTGAGTCTTGTCCCTAAACTTGGATTTTAATCTTACTAGACACTGATTAGGAGAAGACATACAGTATCCATTCACGCTTCTTCCGGGTCTATGCCCACCCGATAATTCGCGTATGAGTTTGGGGCTTTTGAGTTTTAATTCCTCATCTTTCTCTTTTTTTCGCCCCCCCCCCCAACCCCTCACTCCCATCTCCATCTGTTCCAATTAGGAACTGAGGCTTCAATAGGCTTGGATGCGATCTTTCCAAAGCTTGGAGAGTTGGCAGATCAGAGAGGGACTTTCCAGACAATGCTGTCCGGGGAAACCCTGTTATTCCGCATCAATTTTTAAAAATCCAAAAGTTCTTTTTTTAGAAATCGGTCTTCCCTCCTTTTTAAACAAAAGTAGGGTTTGAAACCGGCAAGGACCGGCAAGGACCTAAAGTGGAAAAAGTGGGGCGATTGAGATTTGCCATCCACTTTGCAGTCAGCTAGTAAACTCCGTTGAAACTAAGATTTACCCCGGAAGTAGGATACTAGCTAATATTTGTCACTGGACGAAACACCATATAAACTGATCAGAATGATGCAAACACGGAAGACTGGATAATTCTCCAGAAAGATGACTGGCCTCTCCTCCCCTGATTTGGGAGAAACTAAACTGTCTTCCTCACCACCGATCCTGGAAACCTCCCTTTTGGGTCTGTCTAGGGGCTTAACCCAAGAGCCAGTCTGGACACCTCTGGGCTGTTTGCCCCGGGACTCGCGCGCGGCGTCCCTACCAGGTTCACCGGGTGCACGTAGCCGTTTTCATAGCGATCTTCCTGTAGCAACTGCCGCAGGTGTGCGATGTAACTGGAAGCGAGTCGCAGGGTGTCCAGCTTGGAGAGCTTGGTGTCAGGGGGTACCCAGGGCAGGCTAGTCTTCAGCCTGGAGAAGGCTTTGCTCAGCACACGCATCCGAGCGCGCTCTCGGGCGTTGGCTGCGTTCCGCTGCGACTGCTTGCACTCAGCGGCCGATCCCTTGGCCGGGAGTGGCTTTTTGCCACAGCCGCCTGCACTGCCACCTGTGCCGCCACTCCCAGCCACCCGGGGCCTCTTTCTCTTGCAGCCTCCCGAGTCGCTTGCTGAGCTCAGAGAGCACTGCTCCTCCTCGCAGTCGGGGTCCTCCTCCTCGGCAGACGAATTGTCACTAGGAGAGGCGTAACTGCGCTCGGCGCCACGGAGAGGCGGCCTTTTGGAGGCGGGGACCGGGTACCCCCGCTGTAGCCCCCGCAGCTCCATCTCTTCGGGGTCACTCACCGAGCCAGTGGACATAGCGTCTTTCCCCGCGCCCACGCGCGCTCGCCTTTCTCCGCCCTGGCCAGTATCACCGTCTCCGCCTGCAGCTCCCTGGCAGAGACGGGGGCCAGGGAAAGCTCGAAGGAGGACCGAAGACCTCGGCCCCGAGGCGCGGAGGCGTGTGAGTGAAGTGGGCGGTGAAAGTGAGCGCGCCCCGCAGCTGACCCCGGAGGATGAAGCCCAGAAATTGACGTCGGGATCCAGGGTCCGCACGCACAACCACTAGCTGTGCCTTTTGACAGGACTATTTATCTGTACTCCTCGGGACAAACCACCACCACCCCCACAAAGAAGAGGGGTTTGGAAAGGGGGGCAAGAGGTGGGGCAGGGGCGTGGAAGGGGTGGGGATCACTTTTCCTCGCCCAGAGGAGTGGATGGTGGGGGAGGGGAAGGCAAGGTCTCTATTAAGTCAGAATTTGGGCCCGAAGCCCCACTGACCTTCACGGATGTCTGTGCGAAATAAGTGTTTTATGGAGGAACAAAGGGCGACCCCTTATTCCTACCCAACCCATCATCACACTCAACTGATCTATAGTGTAACGAAGATTGTCTGACACTTAGACCCCCGTCAGAGTCCAGATCCTGCCGGCTGCTTCTCTCCCAGTCTTTTCAGTAGAACCCAGTTTCTCAAGTTCATCACTCACGGCCTATCCAAGTCTCTTCCAACAGAAAAGGCGAAACAAGCAAGTCACACCAACAATGTGCAACAGCCGCCTCTCATTCTTCTCCTCCTCTTTTCCTTCTATGTAGCTTTATGATTTATACAGCACTTTTATCTATATTGTTTCGTTTCATCTTCAAACAGCATCTGTAGCTTAAATGTTATCTCCATTTTGCAGAATCACCAGGCTGGTTCAAAAAAAAAAAAATCTGTTTAGGATCCCTAGCCTGTTGGCACTCCAGTAGCTACATGTCTGCCCACCACACACCAATGGATTTTTAACTGGTATTAAAGTCTTGAGAGTTTCCTGCCCTAACTCTTTTAGTTATATTTAGGGAATCCATTACTATTTTAGCTGTGATACTGAAGAGCAAGCTACTGGATGCGGAATGCTAACTCAGCACAATCATCCTGCCAAAAAAATAAGAAAAGCAACACCTAGAATTATTATGTCCCATTCCATCAAAACATAAAACACCTATCCCTCCCCCAAAGGAAACAAAACAAAATTCAATTGGTGTCTCCTTTTTTCCTAACTGGAAGGCTGTTGCAATGCGTGGTCAAGGGATGGTACTTCCTTTTGGAAACCATACCAGTGGTCAGCCCCTGAGTGAGTGTGGGCTATGTGCCAATGCCATGTGAGCAGCCCACGGAGGAATTCAACCCCTGTGAGGTTGAGATTTGGTTATTCCCTTCTACCATGAGGAAACTGAACTTTCGCGGTTAACCAGTTGTTCCTTTGACCTTCCACTAAAAATCCCCAGGCTCCCAAAATGAGCGAGGTGCAAGGAGACTAATGGATCATCAGTTTGGAACAAGGAAGACAGAAGCCACTGGGTCAGCCTCGCTCCAGCGGATTCTTACAGCAGAACAAATGCGAAGGGCTCTGTGCCTGAAGTGCCACGACAGGTGGCTGGCCAGGGGTGACTTCATCACTCAGGCATGGTTCCACCTTGTCTCCCAGGCCATGCCTCTCCCGTGGGAGAAGTTTCACACAATCAGTCCCGCGGGCCTCCATTGAAAGCGTTTGCTTTCTCCCTGTACATTTTGTCTGTGGTTAGGTAGTGGGGGATGGGCTAGTTCTGGGAGGAGCTCAGTAAAAAGATCGCTTGCTCTCAGCTCTCTCTGGGCTGGAGAAACGCGGGATTATTTGAAAGAGCATGGAAATTTTCTTGGGGCGCTTGAACTTGAACTTGACTCTAAGCACGCTTGGCCTGGCTAAGGAGGGGAGAGAGACAAAGATGTAAGGAGGAGATCTCAGGCTAGCTTTCTGCATTGCCTATTGATGACTTGAAGCTATCAGTATAAATACATAGTCTCACACATTAGGGGCAGGCATATAGGTTTTTAAAATCTGGATTGTTTATACAGGTGCAGAACAAAGTCTTTCTTTAGAAAAGATTAATGGTGGGGAGAGCACTACATTTCTCTAAACAGTCTCAAGAACTGTACCCAGCCTCAACACTAAGGGGGTCATGGCCAGTTTCTTTTTCTTGAAGAAACTCCCTGACCCTAACAATTCAGGCTTATTTTTCATAGCTTTTGCCTTCCTTCTCTCTTCTTCCTTCTCTCTCTTTCTTCTCTTCCCTCCCTGCTTTTCTCTTTTTCTCTCCCCCTTCTCCCTCCTTCTGCTCTCTTTAAAGAAAGTCAGATATTTTTATTTTTGTTTCTTCATTTGTCTTCCTTTCATTTTCATTTTGTCGCCATTTCTTTCTAGCTACATTCTCACCCTTTTAACTCTTTTTATTTTCCAGCTTGTGGATGTGCAAGAAAGATTAGGAAATTTATCATATACGTATTTATTTTTAGTGTAGAATTGCAGTTTGCTTTCATGTGTCTGTAATATCTGAGGTTTGTCACCTCTTTCCAGTATTTTTACTTTTCTTTCTCTGGGTGATCCTAACACCTGGCAAGTTGAACAGTATAAGTTAGTCAGTCTCTCTCTCTCTCTCTCTCTCTCTCTCTCTCTCTCTCTCTCTCTCTCCCCCCATTGTTTTAATGTCGTTCCTCATTGCAAGTAAATAAATAATAAAGTCCTAGTTTTTGTATCAAAGTGCACACTGAACCCAATTTCTGTTTGCCTCTGCTTTACAAACTTCTAAATTTGTAATAAATATACCCTGTTATCTGTCCTGTTCATTGAGGGTCTTGAAATATTTTATTCATATTCTTTGTAAATATACAGTGTTGGGTGAGTGGGGTTAAAGTTACTTTATAAAGCAAACATTAATACATTTAATAATTTTTCCTCAACCTGGATTTCCTGCTTACTGGATATATAATTTGGGGGACAGTTTGCTTTTTTTGAGACTTAGTTCTCTGATCTATAAAACGAATTATATTTTTCTGGGAAAGAAGAATATGTATGGACTATTGTCTACATCAGAGACTGGCACATGGGAGATCAGTAAATGCTACTTATTATTATTATTATTATTATTATTATTATTAATGGTCTTGCCGGATATCACACAGCTAATAAGTGTTAGTGTCTGAGGCTGATCTGGGGTTTGGATAACACCTGGATTTTCATTTGCTTTGAGTGCAGTCTTCAAGGGTCTGAAGTGCAAAGTCTCATTTCAAAATATTTTCCATAGCTTCCATAAGGGCACTCACTGAGGAAAAAAAAAATGGATGAATGGGACTTCATTAGAAACTTTCCTTTCTGTCCCCAAGTCCTCTCATTGAAAATTAAAAACTTTTTTTTTTCTGGCCCTACTATCCCAACTGAAAAAAATTAAGGAGGTGGGACAGGTAAAATGCCCAAATCAGAGTTTGTAATGTGCTGAAAGGATTAAAGGTTGTAGTATATGTGACAGCAGCATGCTTGGGTGTAACATGGAAAATTGTCTGATAAATAAAAATATTTTTAAATGCAGACTTTTTTTAAAATTAAAAAGACAACAAAGTGGAATAATAATTACAAAACATAGGAAAAAAAGACCCATTCACTGACCTCCCCCAACTCTATGGTAATCCTGGGTGAGGAAGCTTAGAGTTTGGCAGGTTAAATGGGCTGGGTTTCAGGGAGAGCAGAGCATTCCTCTATTCTCTGTGAAGGGTAGATGCAAATCCTGTAGTGAGTAGGTACTTAAGAAACCCTTGTGGGAATGCATATGAAGGGATAGAGCTCTCCCCATATGACTTTCCTGATGCTGTCTCTCTCATTATCTCCTGAGCCCCACTTTGTCCCATTGGCTGAAGGAATTTCCCATACTTTGAGGCAATTGTCTGTACTTTGGAAAAACAGCATTTAAAAAATGTGGATCAGCACTGGATATTAGCTACACAAAGCTACTGAGCCCAAGAAACCAGCCCAATCATGGGCTTTAATATTGAATACCTACTGGGTATTGAAGATGTAATGTTAACAAAAGAATGTAAAATAGCTCCTCAATATTTAAAAATATTAACTACATGTCAAAGTACGCTAATATTTTGGGTATGTTAAATCACATGAACTTTACTATCAAAATTAATTTCAACGTTTAATTATTATGTAGTTATTTAAAATTTAGAATTATATATGTAGGTTCCATTGCATTGCTGTTGGATAGTTTGGTGATTAATCTCAGGGATTATGCACTGCAGTGAACTTCTATCTGCTATTAGTAAGAGTGGCTCCCTATCCCTTGAATGGAAACTGTCATGACAATATGGTGAGCCCATGTGACATCATTATTTTCCCTTGTCATCTGGCCTGCATCTCACCATGTGTACTTAACCTCGTGCAGTCCTGCGAAACTGTCAACATGCTGAAAAGCACTTCCAGTTAGGATTTCCACAGCCCCTTATCAAACAAACCTTCACCTGGAGAAGTGTAGGATTTGATGGGCCACTCTGAAGACAGGGCTCCAGTGAGGGATTTTTCAGGGTAATGTTGGGATGAAAGTACAGTGCCCAGGACAGAAAGATGAAGGTTTGCATCCTGTGATATCCAGTCAAGCGGTATGCAAGTCATGTGGCTTTTGGGTTGTTTGCAGGGTGCAGCATTAGGACAGGATCTCTCAAGACTTAGGCCCTTTTTTAGCTCCTCTATGTAAACACCTGAACCCTTCTCTAGGTCCAGGTCAAATTTTATACTGGTGTCACCCAGCATGTCACTGGTCTCCAGCCATCATCAGGCTGGGAGCCATGAGATCAGGGGCTTAAGGGAACTGTTGGAACCCAGGGAAGGAGTCCTCTGTCATCCCTAACATTACTAGTCCTCAGCTACTAGTTTATTTTTCCAAGAGTTTGCTGCAAGATTTTTGTTCCTTCCATTGTGGCTTTTGTTGCCTTAGTTGTAGGGAGGCCATCATATAGAGTCAATAGGATCATGGAGACTGGAGGTAGGGAGAAAAGCTGGGAGTTAGAATGAGAAATGGGACTAGGGCACAAAAAGGGAAAGTGATACAACTCAGTAGAGACCAGATTTTCCCTGCTATGTGAGATACAAGACAGACATCCTCATTGATTGTCTTTACAACTAACAATACAGGTGGCTTCAGGGAGAAAAAAAATCTATCTACCATCTATCTATCTTAGACCTTAGGAAGCCTCAGATTCCATGTGGAATGTTGTATATC